TATCCCCAGCCCCCTAATCTACTTTCTATCTCTTTAGATTTGCTTATTCTGGAGGTTTTTTATGAATAGAATAATATAATATATGGTCTTTTGTGTCTGGTTTCTTTAACTTAGCAAGTTTTTAAGTGTCATCCATGTGTAGTCCATTGTCAGACTTTTAATCCTTTTATTCTAATGGCAGCCAACAATTTCATTGACAGGATTTTCAATTAGCATCCCAACCTCTCCACTCCATCTTTTTTTTTTTTTTTTTTTGCATCAGGGATTGATCCGAGTGGTGCTTTTCCACTGAGCCATATCCTCAGCCCTTTTTAATACTTTATTTGAAGACAGGGTCTTGCTGAGTTGCTTAGAGCCTTGCTAAATTGCTGAGGCTGGTTTTGAACTCATGATCCTCCTGCCTCAGCCTCTTTAGCCACCAGGATTACAGGCGTATTCCACGATGCCCAGGTCGCCACCCCATTTTAATTCCTCCATCTCTCTGATGCTGTCTTTGATACAAGGGAAAGAGAGAACTCTGAGGTTGGGAGTGAAGCTCAGTGGTAGAGCCCTCATCTAGCATGCACAAGGCCCTAGGTTCCATTCCCAGCATTGGAGAGAAAGAGAACTCGAATTCATCCTTGTCTTTGGGACCAGGACAATCAGACACTCCTCAGCCTTTGTAAATCCCCAGGTACATAGAGAAGGAAGAGGCTGTGAGGGAGAAGGGTAGAGGCGGAGTGAGAAACCTGGAGTTCTGGCCTTCGCTAGCACTGATGACCTTGTCTTCCTGAGCTCAGTCTCTGGCTTCTTCTACCACCTAGGGGCCAGTTCAGAAGACCAGAGTGAACTCCAGGATGTCCAAGATGAATATGGGGCACCCAATCTGGCACAAACCCCTGGAATGGATGGTGACGGGGGACATGGAGGCTTGGCATTCTTCAAGGTGTGAGGAGGCGCAGCCTTTAAGGATTTAGGAAGAGGAGGTGGGGGATAGCCATCTGGGTAGGGTGGGGATAAAGTTCTGCTGTCCAATCAAAGGCCTTTTTCTCCCCTTTCCCTTGTGGACAGAACTATCCACAAGGCTGTTGTGATCAAGTTAGTGGAGGCTTTGTGTGTGCTAGAGAATTCTAGAGGATTTAAGTCAAACTGGATGATTTGACTTGATGTGGGCATGACTGTTAAAATGGAGCACCTGCAGATGGGCAGGTGGAGGGGGTGGGCAGCTCTGGCCTGTAATCTCAGCTACTCCAGAGGCTGAGGCAGAAGGGTCGCYAAGTTCTTGGCCAGCTTGGGCAACTTAGTGAGACCCTGTGGTGAAATACAAAAAATACAAAGGGCTCAGGATGTAGCTCAGTGGTAGAATGCAACTGGATTCAAGGTGGGCGGTGGTTGTGGGGAATGCAGCTGCCGCTGATGAAAAGGCACGGCCTGAGAGAGCGGAGCAGTGATACACAAGGGCCAGTAGGCACCACTTTGGGTGGCACAAATGCAGAAGATGCTTTCACTTGGTTAGATCCTGCCCATATTATGTGTCTAGGTAAGTATGGGTTTCAGCTGAATGGGCAGTGCTATCAAAAGGATTATTTTTTTWAAAATTTCATTTTATATATTTATTTATATGTGGTGCTGCTAGTGCCTCACATATGCTAGGCAAGCGGTCTACCACTGAGCTACATCCCAACCCCTCAAAAGGATTCTCCGATCAGARTCAGTAGATGGAGTGGGCGTGGTAATGGGAAAAGCTAATAGAGTTAGCCAATCAACAGATGTTTAGGGTTTGGCTGGGTGGGCTGGCTGAGATGCTTGACCAAAAAGCAGAAGTCATGAGCTGGAGAGGGCGTAACCTTGAGCTGGACAGCCAATCAGCTCTTTGTCAAGGCTGGGCTCGACTCTCCCTCGATTTTGAATTTGGCTGGTGAGCCAGGGAGAAGACCTGGAAGAAGAGCAAGAGGAGTTGGAGTCTGCAGGGGCGAGCTCCGCAGCTGCCGCCAAGGAGGTGTCCGCGGTCCCGGAAAGCGTGAGCTGTACAGCCAGCTGCTTCGTGGAGGGCGGGGCTGGCTTGCTACCCCGTACCCCTGGCCTTCTGCTGGGAGAAGACTTGGAGACCTACGTCCTGCGGCCAGCGCAGCGGGGCCACATGGTGCAATGCTGCATCAGCCGCGACAAGCATGGCGCCGACAAGGGCTTGTTCCCCATTTACTTCCTCTACCTGGAGGCAGAGAACGGCCGGAAGGTGCGGTCCACCCCTTGGGGGGCCCTTTTGCCCCACAGGCAGGGTAGAAAGCCCTGCCTCCCATGGGCAGGTTCCCTCCTTTCTGAGCAAGATCAGGTCATCAGAAAGAAAGGACATGTCAACTCCCACCAAGCCCTGGCCTCCCAGCACCAAAATCCTTTCCTTACGGAGCACAGTAACATAGACGCTACCAATCCTATAACCAAGTCAGGCCCACTCCAGAGTTGGGCCTGCTTTTTCAAAATCAAACCATACTTTCTCAGGATCCGAAGGTTTATGGGTCCCTTCTTTGGGTTTACCCAATCCTGGGATAAACCCTTCCCCTTCATAGATTTCCCATTCTAGAGCCAAGACAGGCTCCTTTCAATCTAGTCCAGTGTGGCCAGTGTGGCCTCTTTTCCTTTGGCTACAATATTTCTCCCAGAATGAGCCTTTTTCCTTTCTTAGAGCCAAACCTGCTTTTCCTGGATGAAATGTCTTCCAGAGTCCTGTTCCAAGAGTCCTTCCCTATTCTCCAAAGCCAAGCCCTGCCTGAGCTCAGCCTCAGCCCAGTATCCACTGGCAAAGGAAAAGGAGGAGATATTAAGATGTAAAGCCCCCCTTCAGGACCTAGCTGATTGGTTTATTTCAATGAGAATCTCTCCCAGCAAGCTCATTACTCTCTCCTCTGCAACGAGACATGGCATTTCCTTGTCTTTGGACTCCTCTGTCTCTAGCCAGACACCAGAAATCCATTCTGATGGGTTCTCTTTTCATCCACAGCACTTCCTCCTGGCTGGGCGAAAAAGAAAAAGGAGCAAAACTTCTAATTATCTAATTTCCCTGGACCCTGAAGATCTGTCTCGGGATGGGGACAGCTTTGTTGGCAAAGTCAGGTGGGCAGAGCCCGAATGTATTGTGAAAACAAGGTGGTACAGAGCCTGGGAAGGGAAGGGGCCTACCCTTCCCAATAGGCCGTAGGGCACAAGTTCCACCTGCTTTAGGGCATGATGGGTTTATAGATTGGATTTTGTGTGTGTGTGTTTGTGTGTCATTTTTGTTTCTGTTGGTCGTGGGGGTTGAACCCAGGGGTACTTTACCACTGAACTACATCCCTAGTCCCCCTTTAGTTCTTGATGGGCCTTTATTTTATTCATTTATTTATATGTGGTGCTGAGAATCGAACACAGTGCCTCACACATGCAAGGCAAGTGCTCTACCACTGAGCCACAACCCTAGCCCCCCAGTCCCTTTTATTTTTATTGTTTTATTTTATTCTTGGTACGAGGGATTAAAGCCAGGGTTGCTTAACTACTAAGTTACATCCCAAAACTTTTTATTGTTTTGAGACAGGGTCTTTGCTAAGTTGCTTAAGGCCTTGCTAAGTTGGGGGCTTGCAATCCTCCTGCCTCAGCCTCCCCAGTCAGTAGATTACAGGCATGCTCCACCACACTTAACTGAGTTTTGTAGTTCTTCAGGTTGTATATCCAGGTGTTTTGGAAAAGAAAAGCAAAAAGTTTTGAATAGTATGATGCACAGGCTAGTATTTAAGACAAATTCCTTCTTGAGAGGCCAGGGCTGGAACCCTTAAGTTTCTATGGGTAAAGAGATCTAGAATGTGTGAGATTTTGTATACCAGAGGGAAAAGGGTCCCTTCTTTTTTCAGTAGTGGAGATTGAACCCAGGGATGCTTTGCTGCATGCCCAGCCCTTTTTATTTTTTTATTTTGAGACAGAATCTCACTAAGTTGCTCAGGCTGGCCTCAAATTAGTGATCTTCCTGCTTTAGGCTTCCAAGTCACTAGGAAACAGGCATGCACCATTGCACCCAGCATGGAAGAGGGTTCCTCTAAAGGGCCAAAGCAGAAGGCTAAACACATGACTTACCAAAGGAAGAGAGGGCTTGGACCATGGATACAGGGAACATGATTCTTACCTAGAGGACTGATTTGGGAAAGTACTTACAGCCAAAGAGTAACAATTTTTTTTTTTACTTTTATTCTGCCAACTGCCCTTTGGGAGCAGATCTAATGTATTGGGCACCAAGTTCATCATCTTTGACAATGGGACAAGTCCTGACCGGAAGCATTTGGTATCAAACACTGACCGGCTCAGAGAGGAGCTGGGAGTTGTATATTACGTGAGTGTGTATTTTCCTCCTGGAGAGGAAAGAAGAGAGGGAAAGAGGGAGGGGAGGAGACAGAGAATGAATTAATAAGGGGCGGGACAAGAGGGATGGGAAGAAGAAGCCAGGCTAACTGGAATGTAATACTCCCAGGAGACTAATGTTTTGGGATTCCGAGGGCCTCGGAAAATGACTGTGATCATCCCAGGAACCGACAGCCAGGGCAAAAGAATCAGCATCCAGCCACAAAAAGTGAGTCTTCAATGTCGGGAATCTTGGGACAGAGTCCTGTTCCAAGAGTCCTTCCTTATTCTCTGGGGGGCCATCTTTGCAGGTCAGGTGAAGCCTCTGGAGGACTTTGCCAGACATCTATCTGTCTCAAGGAGTAAAGACTAGAGATTCAAGAATTCTGGGTCGGGAAGAAAAAAGGTGGCTGGTGGTAAGTTAACAAACCATGCCCCCCTACTTTTCCTTCAAGGAACAAGAGTCGCTAATGAATCGCCTCCAACGGGGGTCCGGCCAGGGGCTGGTCCTGCTGCAAAACAAAACCCCATCCTGGAGCGACGAGAGCGGCGCCTACGTGCTCAATTTCCACGGTCGAGTCACTCGGGCTTCTGTCAAGAACTTCCAGATCGTGCACCCTGAAGACCGTGAGCTCCTGGGAAGGGCTTACCTGGGCCAGGGAGCATGGGAACTACTACTCCCATCAGCACTTGAGCGCCTTTTCGGCGGGGCTGACTCCTTGCCATTGCAAGGCCTGTTGGGAACTGTAGTTTACACCGCCCTCGGAGGGTTTTCCCATTTAATAAGCTTCTTAGGAGTCGTGATTCCTGAAGCTCTGAGGCTGGGACATGAGGGGGGTCTGGTTAAGGCTGAGTTTTTGACTTTCTCCTTAGCGGACTACCTGGTTCTTCAATTTGGCCGCGTGGCCCCAGATATGTTCACTATGGACTTCAGGTTCCCGCTTTGTCCGCTCCAAGCCTTCGCTATCTGCTTGTCCAGTTTCGATGGGAAGCTGGCATGTGAGTAACTCAATAAAATACCATCCCTTCACAATCTTCTGTGACTGTGAGTTTAGAGAAAGCATCCCAACATGCCTCCTCCTGCTTGTGTATGTGTGTGTGCGGGGTGGGGATTGAACCCAGAGCTGCTTTTTTATTTTTTTATTTTGAGACATGGCCTTGTTAAGTTACTGTGGCTGCCTTTGAACCTGCAATCCTCCTGCTTCAGCCTCCTGTGTAGCTGGGATTACAGGCGTGAGCCACCACCCCAGCACCAATACTTATTAGATACTGCCTGCCTGTTCCGTCCTGTGCTCTAGAGAGTGGGCTGTGTAGTAGCACCTATTCCGGCCAGGCTCACAGTCATCATGAGAGAAGGACCATAACCAAAAAAAGCAGAAGTTCAGAAAAGCTTATACAGCCGCAATCTGTTAGTTCAGAGCAGGGCAATTCTAAAAAAGTGCCACTCATACTACATGTGCAGAGTCAGGATAAACTAGCTAAGGGGCCTGGTGGGAACATTAGGCAGCAGGCAGAGCTCCCCAAAGGCCTTGAAGGTGGACTTGGGGGACTGAAAGCTTTAATTTGGCAAGAACCTAGGGATCCAGTAGACAGGGGGAAGGTAGAAGGCTGGACCTTTGGTCCACCCTTGTTTTAACTGGACAGATCCTGTGAGCTCAGAGAAGGGTTCTAAGCTGTTGATGTAAACTTGTTTGGGTAATTAAAAATATGAATAGTGAGCGTGAGCTCACTTTAACAACTGTGAAGGTTCCTACAATCCCGTACGACATGTAAAATCCCATAAAGTGTATAAAATTGTTAGATATGTTGTAGATAAGAAAACTGAAAAAAAAAAGAAAAAAAAAAAAAGAAAACTGAGTCTTCGCACACAGGGCTTATAAATATGAAATCAGGCAATGGAAAGTTTTGAGGAACACAGTTGGAGAATGTAAAGGCCATAGAGAATTAATTGGACCTTAACACAACAGGGAGGCACAGATAACTGAAGCTTAACTTTTTCTTCTTTGGGATTGGTGAGTCAAGCCTCCAGCCCTCTTGGGGAGATGACTGCCCAAGTTTAAATAAATTTAGGCAGTTGCCAAAGAAAATCTACAAAACCCACCAGTCCTTCATACTTATCCCTCCAAATCAGGCACCCAGGAAGATACTGTCAGTACACACACAGAGACATTGCTCACTACAAATCAAAAAGCTTTATTCCTTAAATAAATCAACACTTTAAAAAAGTTAATAAATAACATGCAACCATTTGGTCTTAGCCACGCCTCCCATTGAGATTCAGGCTAAGAGCTGGTGCTTCCAAAGAAGGGGTATGAGGGGGTGTGGCCATAGCCTGACTCAAGGGCGTGGCCTGAGCTGGAGCCTCGGAGGAGATCAAGGGGAAAGATAAGGTCTGGGTAGAGGCAGGTATGGGGGTAAGAGAACTGGGTGCATTCCCAAGGCGTGCCCAGGCTCTTGCCCGGGAGGCAGGGGTAAGGCAGGGACCTAGCTTTTCCTGGGCCTGGGCGATGCGGCGGGCAAAGCGACTCCGATCCCGAGCGAACTGTTCCCAGGGGCCCCGGCGGGCAGCCTGGGCCGGGCCTGCCCAGACAGCCAGGAAATGCACGGTGACCTTCTCAGAGAAGCGCACCTGAGGACAGAGAGACAAAGATACATACATGGAGACACAAGGTTCCAAACAGAATCAAGGAAAAATCAGTTGCACAAAAATGCTTGCTATTTGCCTAGTCACCTGCCTGTCAGACTTCCAAATGACTCACTGGAGAAAGATGGCGTTCTGGGGCTGCCTCCTCCTCCCACTGGGGCCCCAGCCTCTTACAGAGGATTGCAAGATGATGTGCATAGTCCTCCCAGAAGAGTTCCTATGCAATCTGCTGCAATGTACCTGGGACCCAGGAGTCCTGGCCTCCAGCCCTTCCCCACTAGACGAGAGTTCCAGCTCCTAGCCCTCTCCTCCCTCCAAATAAAAAAAGATCTGGGCCCTCAGCACCCACCTTTCTGGATTTTTGGGGAGTTTCAGGGTCTGGATCCTGGGTGAGGGTCTGTGACAACCTGAGTCGTCTTTGTAGCCTGAGGGGCAGCTTAGGAGCAGTCCAGGGAGGTGGTGGTTTCTCTCCAGGTACGTAGAAGGCCACTCTGAAGGGGCTGGTCTCGGAGTCTCCCCATTTCCCCTCAGCTTCCTCTTCCTCTGTCTCCTTTCCAGGTTGATATAGCCAGCCCCTGAGGTGGGCACTCTGGGCCTGAAGGGAGGGGTGCTGGCCCCAGGCAGCTGTTCCACAGTCCTCTCCTTTTTCCTCATTCTGCTCACACTCATCTTCCTCCTCTGTGTCCTCCCCAGGATGATACACCCAGGCCTTCAGGAGGGCACTGGTAGCGGGGGTGGGAGAGGAAGCCTCAGCTTCTTCCTCTTCCTCAGTTGATTCCCAGTCACTGTCCTCATCTTCCTCTGTGTCCTCCCCAGGACGATACACCCAGGCCTTCAGGAGGGCACTGGTAGCGGGGGTGGGAGAGGAAGCCTCAGCTTCTTCCTCCTCCTCAGTTGATTCCCAGTCACTGTCCTCATCTTCCTCTGTGTCCTCCCCAGGATGATACACCCAGGCTTTCAAGAAGGCACTTGTAGGGAGGGTGGGAGAGGAAGCCTCAGTTTCTCCTTCCTCCTCAGCTGATCCTGAGTCACTCTTCTCCTGGTCCTCCGCATTCTCCCCTGGCTGACACACCCAGGCCCTCCTGGAGGCACTTGTAGAGGAAATGGAAGAAGGACCCTTGGCTCCTCCCTTCTCAGTTGCCCCTAAAGCACTGTCATCCTCCTCTTCCTTTTTCTTACTCGGTTGATTCTCCAAAGCCCCAAGCAGGTGCCTCTGGGCTGGAACCGAGGACCGCGGCTCTGGGCCAGCTTCTTTCCCAGGGGCTTCACAGGCCTTCCTGCCCTTCTCCCTAGGCCTCTCGCCTGGACAATATCCCCAAGCCCTGGAGCTGGAGCCCGCCAATGAGGGGGAAACRGAGGTCTTCCTGGCTTCGTTTTCTGTTCCTTTTTCCTCCGTGGCTTGATTCTCTTTCTCCTCTGGGCAGTACACACAAGTGCCAAGTTGGGATCCTGAAGACTCAGGGAAAGTGGAGGCAGTAGGAGCTTCTTTCTTGACATCGCTCCACTCCCAGTGTGATGAAGGATAAGAGAACTTGGCCACTCCCTCCTCTTCAGCTTTCTCCTCCCCAGGACTCTTATCAGAACCTTGCAGGGCTCTTATCTGCAGGCTGGGGGACAGGGGCTGGCCATCTGTAATTTCCCTTCCCTGCTCTCTGGGGACACTGCTTGCATCTTTCTTACTATTTTCTTCACTGCCTAAAAGTCCCCAAGCTTCAGGAGGGGAATTACTGGGCTTCAGGTCAAGGCAGGACTCCAGGTCTGCTTCTCCATTCTCTTGAGGTACTCCACTGTCTTCAGCTTCCCCTTGAGGATGCCTGGCCCAGGGACCATGGGAGATGGCCAAAGAAGCCTTCACTTCTCCCTGCAGGCCACCTTCTACCAGATTTTCTCCTGTTACTGCTTCTACCAGCCAGGGCTCTGAAGGTCCTGGGCCCCTCAGCCGGCTCCAGGCCCGGCTGAGGAAGCCCATCAGTGGGGACAGGAGGTAGGAGTAGTGGGCTTCCCTCCAGGGTGTGCTGTGATGGGGTACTTGGCCTGGAGCCATCTGTCCCAGATGAAAAAGGGGGAGAAGAAAAAGAAATAAGATTTAGAGGCCATTTAGGAAATGCATCAGGGCATGACCCTGAGTCATAGCAACAAAATAGCAACACAAATGAATAACAACATGAGAATCCGGGCCCAGGATTCCTTTCTCATCCCAGCTACACCCATCTCTGTTCCTTGCTTCCCTTCTCGACACCCAGCAGTCTGGGCCCCCAGCTCTCCTTCATTAGATCCAAGGGTCCAAACCCCTTTTCAGACCCAGAAGTCCCWGTCCCAAGAACAAAGATCTTTTTTCGAGCTTCCCTTGGGGACAAAGTCAGTCTCCAGTTCTCTTACTTTCCTGAGGATTGATAAATCACCTTCATCCCTTGGAGTCTCAGAATATTCTGAACCAGACTGGGGTTGGGGCTCAAGTGGTAGAGCACCTGCCTAGCATGCTGATCCTTAGCACCACATAAAAATAAAATAAAGATATTGTGTCCATCTAAAACTAAAAAATAAAATTTGAAAAAATATTCTGACCCTCAGATTATTCCTTCACTGGGGACTCAAGAATCTGACTCCCGCACCCCTTCTCCCTCAAGCTTAGAGGACTCCGGGCTCCTAACCCCTACCCCTGCCTAAATCCGGGCCTCCAGTCCACTCCTCCAGACCCGGGAGTCGGTTCCCCATCTGGACCCTCACCAGACTCATGAGACCAGGCAGCCAGGCCCTCCCTCCATACGAGGCTGGAGTCCAGGCCCCGAACCCTCCAGTCTCAGAACCAAAAGTCCATGGCTTTCCTCATTATTGGGGCCCCAGGCATTCCGATCCCTTACCGGCTAGGAGCGTCAGTGTCACCCAGGAGGCAGGAGCGCCGGCTCGGGCTGCCAGAAGCGATCGCAGGTTCGGACGGTTCGGACGGCTCGGAAGGCCAGCGCGTTCATCTCGCCCTCAGGCGTGGGGCTCGGGGACTCCAAGTATCACGGGCTGCCTCAAGCACTGTCGCGACAAACGGCTGCAGAATCGTGTGGCGTCTCGTTCGTAATCATCCGCAGGCCTGGGAACCGATCCAATTAGCTCTGGCGCAGCCTGCAATGCTTTTATAGACAGTCGCAGCCGACGTAGTGACATCACGAGAGGCGGGGTTTCGAAACSACAGCGCATTGGGTGGGAAGTGAAAAACAACAGGGACCTCTGGCGGAAATTCCAGGCTTTGTGACGTCACGTCGGCATTTCCAAGCATGGCCACGCCCCTGAACAAGCTATCTGTCAATCAAATAAATGCACSTTCCGCCTAAGCTGCAAGCAGGCGATCTGCCTCTGCTCCAGCACGTGCTTTCCCACCGCAATTTAACCTGCAGGTGTTAGTCTAGAGTTTCCCACCTTCACGTCTAGTCGAATTCCTCCACAGCCTGAGGAATTGGGGACAGGATAGTATTCCCAATTCACAGATGAGGAAACTGAGGGCTGGAAATGAAATCATTTGCTCAAGGTGATCACAGCAGAGTCCAGATTGACTGCAAATGGGAACAAGAATGTAAGCATCATGAAGGCAGGCAACTGTGCTTGGCTCACTGCTTTCTTCTCAGTGGCGACAACAGTGCCTGATACATTGAAAGTGCTCCACAAAGTATGGTGAATGGCTGCTACAGCAAGAGCTCAGGCTCCTTCCCTCACAACAGACAGAAGACGACTTTCTTGAGTTTCACTGCTGCAAACTTGGGCAAAAGCTCTGCTTAGGAAACTGAAATTCTACCTGGGTGGCACTCCTTGTGGGAGGGGGAGTTCTGCTACAAGTTCAAGGTTCAGGGTTCCAATCCCCAGCCCTCTTTCCTATCTGATCCATAACCTTTGTGTGTGTGTGTGTGTGTGTGTGYGCGCACAGACGTGTGAGCACGCACTAGGGATGGAACCCACCCAGGACCTTGCACATGTTAGGCCAATACTCTACCACTAAGCCACACTCCACCTCTAGTTTATATATATATATATATATATATATATTTTTTTTTTTTAGGTACTGGGGATTGAAACACCCAGGAGTGCTTTATCACTGAGCTATGTTCCAAGCCCTTTTTATTTTATTTTATTTTTTTATAATGAGACAGAGTCTCCCTAAGTTGCCTCAACTGGCCTCTCAGCTTGCAATCCTCCTGCCTTAGACTCAAGTTGCTGATAGTATAGTCATATGCCACCACACCCAGCTGTTCTGGTCCACAGTCTTGCTTCTCAAAATGTGCCCAGAACCCATGTCTCCCTCCTGAAGGGGTTGTCCTCGATGAAGAACAGAATTCTCACCTGGATCTGAGGTAGAGGTTTGAAAGTGGCCGCTTGACCCTGCCCTAGCCAGAACCCAGGAATCGGGGACTTCCTCCTCTCTGGGGGAATGACCAGCCCAGACCCAGCCAATTCAAAACCCCTGGCTCATCAGAATTCAGGAGTTCTGACTCCTAACACATATTTTCAGGCACCTGGGAGTCTGGATTCCTACTGCAATTCTTCCAGGGTTTCAGGAATCTGAGCCCCCTCCCCTTGCAAGACCCAAGTCCTCTCCCTGAGGGTGCCAGTGGCTCCAGAGTACAACAAACCCACTAGGGTCCCTGAGGTTCAGGTCTCAGCTGCAAACATTTGAGGAGTCCACGCCACAACCCTTAGGAGACCTAGGAGTCCAGGGGGAGCAGCTCCTCCCCTCAGAAGTGGGGGCAGCTGAGCCAGGGGTCAGGCTGTGGTGGGGAGGCCAGAAGGGGCGGGGACAGCCAGGACTGGGAGGGGAGGCAGCAGCGTGGGCGGCTGGCAGAGGGAGGGAAAGACCAGCAGAGAGGAAAGAGAAACTGGGAGAGGGAGGAAGAGAGAAAGGAAGGAGGAGAACCCGATAGGGAAAGGGAGGAAACAGCAGACGTGGAGGGAGAGAGAGAGAGAGAGAGAGAGAGAGAGAGAGAGAGAGAGAGAGAGAGGAAGAGAGTGAGAGGAAGACAGAAAGAGCGAGAAAGGGAAAGAGAGAGAAAAAATTTAGGAGGAAACAGAAAAAGATTTGGACAGAAACAGAAGGATTGTGGGGGAAACTGAAAGAGTCAGCGACTGGAGAATCAGACAGACAGAAGGTAAGACTGTGGGGAGGGTCTAAAAGACCTAGAGGTGTGAGAAGGAGAGAGGAAAAAGARGGGTATCGATTGAGAGAGAACAAGACAGAAGACAAAGAGACAAAAAGAGTGGCAGCGACCAGGTAAGGAGAGAGAGGAGGTGGGAGACAGTGACTGGGTGCCCCTCGACTTCTCTGTCCTCTCCCCCTGTCACTGGGACCCCAAAGCCGGGTAAGTTTCCTGACTGGGCTGGGAGGGGCTGCCCGGTGCACATTCCTGGTACTGTGCACTGTGCACTGGGCTTGGGGAGCTGGTCCAGATGGTTTGGACTGGTGTAGGAGACAGGTAGCAGGAAGGAGGCAGGGAATGGGGTCCCTAAGCACAGAGAGGGTCACATTCCTGGCCAGAGCTCAGTGGGCAGGAATAAAGGAACCCCTATTCTCTGACTTGGGCTGCAGACAGCTGCCCCCTCCTCGCAGCTGCCAGTGCCGCCCACCTCTCTTGGCATTACTCTTGGTATGCAATCCCGGGCCATGGCCTCCCCCAGCCCCCCAATCTCAAAACAACAGGCTCTTTCTCCTCAGCCTCCTCCGACYGACCTCCAAGCCCCTGACCCTGTCTCTGTCCCTAGCTGGGTCAGCTGCCGAGACACAGCCCCTTTCTCTCTCTCCCCAAGTCTTTGATGGAGGAGGGGCGACCTCGGAGCAGCCTCAGCCTGGCCAGCAGCGCCTCTACCATCTCTTCCCGCAGCAGCTTGAGCACCCAGGTCTGAGCTTCCCAGTGGGGATGGGGAAGAAGGTGGGGATCTGGGCTGCCTGTCCCCTTTCCTAGCCCTGGGTTCTGTACCACCTTAGGGATTCCAGAGGTTAAGGACAAGGATCCTTAGCCATGGGGATGCGAGACCTGGAAAGGTCCTACATTGCCCACCAGCTGCAGCTGAGAATGTGAAGACACTTCCAACTCTTGTCCCCACCCCTCCTATTTTCCTAATTCTAAGCCAGAGAGCAATTTCACCATCCACCCCAGGCCCCACTAGGAACTGAGGTATAATAGCTACTCTTGATGAGGACTGGGGATTTCTACCCAATTTACCCATGACACCCAGTAAGGAAAGACCCTTCTCTGACAATAAGATCCCCTGGGGACACCCAAGATGCTCTCACTCCAAATAATGCCAGCCAGTGAGGACCCCATTTCCTTTTCCRTCTGCCATATCCAGTTTCCCATATTCAGAGCCCAGAGATTTGATCCTAGCCTTGGTCAGCACCACTTCCAGGGAGGGGTGCCCTGCAACAATCTGGCTATAAATGCTTGTGTATCAGGAAAGGTGACCCCCAACTGAGCAGACTGGAAGGATTTGGAGCCTCCTCTTTACCTTGAACTTCATTGCTGAGGGATGTCATTCTCTGACATCACAGCATTCTTCCACCTTTAATTCACCAGGGACTCAGCATGGAAATTCCTCCTGCTTATGGGGACCTCATAGTTAATAGTCCCAGTTCAGATCCCAAAGGTTCACATCCCTGACTCTGGTGGCCAAGGGCATGCTCTTCTTGACAGTGGGCCCTTGGTTCCCAAATTCCTGTGCCACAGCCTCTTCCCTCTTCCTTGCCTCTGAACACCTCCCTCCCATCAAGAGTGTCTCAAYTCAGCACTATGAACACCCGCCAATTCTGACCTCCCAGCTTACCCCCTCCTTGAGCTGATTTCTGAGGGCAGTGGAGTGAGGCCCTAGGGTTGCCCATTTCATACCATTCTGAGACCTATTCATTCTGTCCCTCTTCTCTCCTTAGAAGCCCACTCGGGCAGTAAACAAGGTCCATGCCTTTGGGAAGAGGAACAATGCACTCMGAAGGGATCCCAACCTGCCCGTGCACATTCGGGGCTGGCTTCATAAACAGGTAGCATCAGTGTGTGAAGAAAAAAGGATACTGGGGGCTGTATACCTGGCTACAAATGCAAATGATCAGGTTTCACCCCAGCTCTGATGAATCAGGATCTGGGCTGGGACCCAGCAATCTGTGTTTGAACATTCTTTTCTGGTTCTCAGGTTTGAAACTCCCTGAAAACTAGTAAAGTAGGGTAAGGAAAATGAGCTTTATGCTAAGTGGGATGGTAAGTTGATTTTGAAAAGGGAACTCAYATGATCTGGTTCAGAGTTTTACAAGATCATGCTGGAGTCTGTGGAATAGGTTGATGGGGAGAAGGGCCTGAGGTTGGAGCCCATGGAGTGGTTCAGGGAGAGGTGATGAGAAGACACAGTGCCACCTTCCTAGCCTGCTCTCTATGTCTTAGGCTTCAAAATAATTGGACCAAGTCTCTAAATATAAAGCCCCTGCCCCCATGAGATGAGGTATACCGTCTCATCCAAACCTCCCTAAAACTCCTCAATCCCCAACTGACAGATGAAAAAACGTGAAGGTCCTGGGGGAAAAGACTAGTGTAAAGGGATAATGTGAAACTGGGGGAGCTTAGAGTCCAACACAGATCCAGCTGTGTGAACACGGCCTCCAGCTCTCCATCTAAATCTATTACATTAAACTTGCATCTCTGTCCCTCCCCTCTCTTTGTGTCTCTGTCCCCTTCTCAGTTCTCTCTGAGTCTCTGTCTCTGTGGTCAGTGTCCACCTACTTTCTCCTTTCTCTCTACCCACGGCCTTTCTCCCATCTCTCTCCGCAGGATAGCGCCGGACTACGGCTTTGGAAACGTCGTTGGTTCGTCCTCTCCGGCCATTGCCTCTTCTATTATAAGGGTCAGTGCGCCAGCTGGAAGGCCCTTTCCCACCCGTGCTTCCCTCTAGCCCTTGGCCTCCTGACCCATGTGATCCTTGACTCTGGCCCTCTCATTGCAGACAGCCGTGAGGAGAGTGTCCTGGGCAGTGTCCTGCTCCCCAGCTACAGTATTAGGCCAGATGGGCCCGGAGCACCCCGAGGGCGGCGCTTCACCTTCACGGTGAGTCCGCCCATCCTCCATGATTA